CATGCATATGTGCACACATGAATGCACACAGGCACACACATACATTATGCACACACACACACAAGAATGCACATGCATATGCACACAGGCACGCACATGCACATTGGATACACTCATCCCTAGTCCAGTCATTGAGCCCAACTCCCCATCCAGGCCGACATACCTTCCATGACCAAGGACAGCTGCTGAGCCAGGGACAGCAGTGGCATCGTCACATGGTGCCACCCAAGGCCCAGGCACCCCGTCCTGAGGCCCCCGCCCTGCTCTGGGGCTCAGGCAGCTGCTCAGGACCACTGGCTGGACGGCATGCCCACAGCTTCCTCTGTGGCCCCACTGGGGAGCTTGTCTGTCAACACTCAGCTGAGACACCCATGGAGATCCCAAGAGCCACCTCCCCCAAGGACCCCCCACCCCATAAAGAGCAGAGGCTTCTGGCCAACCGTGCTGGCTGCAGACCCCAGACTTGCTAAGCAAGGTGGCTTCCCCTCTCCAGCCCCACTGCCCCATCACGAAATGCCCGTTTCATAAGTTTCCAACTGCCCAACCCTTCCCTGGCCCTCAGAGCCTTTTGGAGTCTCCTGGGAAGGTGGTCAGAGCATGGACGTGGCCACACCCCACCTGACTCACCTTTATGTCCGGGAGGGTCCCACTTTCCCCAACCCTTTCGAAGGGACTGCACAACAGCCCCTGTGCTCTCTCTGCTTCCCGTCCACCCACCAAAGTCCATGGACCTCTACCCCCAACGGCTACCTGCACCCTACCCAAGGCTCTGGAAGCCTGGAGGCCCAGACCCAGAGCCTGGGACATGGCCTCCCAGGGCAACCTCTGAAGGAGGGAGACTGGGAACCTGGGGCTGGCATCTGTGGATGGAGCTGTAAGCCTCAAAGGCTGGGAACCAGGAGGAAGAGTTCCCCAGGCCAGGGAGGGCTCCCCAGGCCAGGAAAGGCTCCCCAGGGCAGGAGGAGTTCCCCAGGCCAGGAAGGGCTGGCTCCCCAGAGCAGGGAGGTCTCCCCAGGGAAGGGTGGGCTCCCCAGGACAGGGAGGGCTCTCCAGGGCAGGGAGAGCTCCCCAGGGCAGGGAGGGCTCCCCAGAGCGGCGGGGGCTCCCCAGGGCAGGGGGGCTCCCCAGGGGGCTTTGGGTAGCACCTTCTTGGCTTCAGTCCTATGCCCTGAGGGATGGGGACAAGTCCTGCCTGACCAGCCTGATCCCTCCATTCATGGGAGCCCCACCAGCCTAGATAGCCCCCCATGCCAGAAAACCCATCCTGGGAATGGGCCCCAGCTTCCCCGGTCCCAACTCAGCCCTGGCTGGATGGCGGTGGTGGCAGGGACTTGGAAACAAGGACGTCCCCGGCACACTTGCAAGGAAAACCCTTTAATGTTGGGCTTTCCTTAAATACAACAGAAAGCCTGCAGCTTTCCCATGATGCCTGTAAGATAAGAACAGCAGTGGGGGTAGGGGACGTTCCATCGGGGCAGCGCTGCACCTCCTGGCTCTGGCTCACGGTGGGCTTACTGGAGGCAGCAGCAAGGAGGCAGTTCCCGGCGTGCAGGGGCACAGGCAGGCGGGCACACAGCCCTGAGCAGACAAGCAGTGACCCCTGCACCCAGCTAGATGGGGTACCCCCTCCCTGGAAGCTGAGGGCATCAGTGGAGCCTCAGGCTGGGACCAGCCGCAACTTTGCCTCAGTGACTCTAGGCCATTCCAGGCATCAGTTTCCCCAGCTGTAAGGCGAGGCATTAGGCAGGAGTGGGTGGCCCTGGCCAGCGTCCTAGCTGCCTGGCATCTGTATCAGGGAGGACTGAGAAGCTGCCAGGAGAGGCTGTGCTAGCGCAGGGCAGGGCCGGCCCAACAGCTGACGAGGAACATGCTAAACACAGAGGGCAGAGCAGGTAAGGGGACGCCTGCCAGCCAGGCCACGAACGGGCGGCTCTAAGGGGGTACAGAGGCCTGTGGTGCTTTAGGCCCAGAAAGGGCAAGGACCAGCCCAAGGTCACAGAGCATGGCCCTGGTGGGCACTGAGGGGTGCGAGTGGCCAAGGGCACCCCAGCAGGAAGCCTGCTGCCTCTCCAGAAGCCCCTGTGCTACCTGGTCTGGTCCCTCCAGGCCACAAGGCTACCCTCCCGCCCAGCCTGCCTGGGGAGGAGCCAGTGCCCCGTTCTCTGCCAGCAAATGCCTCCCTTCCTTCCGCCTCCAGATCCAGCCTGTGACCACCCAGGCTCTGCCCCAGGCCTGCGTCCACCTCGGCAGGAGCCAGAGGGGGTTGCCTGGCAGGCGCTGCTCTGACCCTTCGGGAGTGACCGCTGCACCTGAACCATGCCCAGGCCCTGTGTACCCAGGATGCTCTGGCCTGGCCCTGCCTCGTCCCTTGCAGCAGTGCCAGCCAGGATCCAGGCTTAGGAGGCACGTGGGTCCCTCTGCTCCAGGCGCTACCCTCCCCTACCCAGGCCCATGTGTGGCCTCGCTGTGGGACAGGGCGGGACTCCCTTTTGCCCACCCATCCTCACCTTGAGGGCAGAGCTGGGTCAGATTGCTGATGCCGCTCCCTCCCTCTGCCTAGCGTGGAGCCCAGTAGAGGGGTGTCAATAACTGGGGGGCCCAGCAGGTGAAAGGGGGTGGGCCAGGCTGGTCAAGAGGCCCCTCCAGCTGGAAGAGAGCACGGCCCAGCCTGCCATCTCTGCATTGCCCCCAGGCCCAGGATGATGGCCGGGGCAGGCAGGGTGTGAAGGTGGCAATCATTGGTCTTTGGTGACATCGCTGAGCCCACTCTCCATGCGGAGCAGCTGGCTGCTGGCCTCGTTGTAGGAGATCCAGTGCTGCAGGTCCGCCGGCAGCTCAGGGGACTCCACCTGCAAGGGACAGAAAGGGAGACCCAGCCAAGCTGCTGCCTTTCCACCTCTGGGCTGCTGCCCACATTGCTCCCCAGCCCGTGACCTTCCAGGAGTCCCTGCCCCGCCACCTGCCAGGCTGTGCCCATGCCTCCCCAGGCCCTGCATGCTTGTGCTACCCCCGCATACCCACCTTGACACGGACCCACCTGTGCCAGGCCCATCTACCCTAGGGGCCATCCCCAGAACCCAGCCAGAAGCTTGAGAAGTTGGCACATTCGGAAGGGCAGATAGGAAATCCAGAGGCCTCAGGGTGACAGGGGACAGAGGAACGGAGGGCCAGCATGGAGCCCTCCTCTGGGAAGGCACCAGACAGGGTACCCAGAGGACAGCACTTCATCTCCCAGGGCAGCCCGGGCCTGAGCCCTCCCTCTCAACCCTCTCTGCACAGGGCCACCATGTGGCGATGGGAGCCGGGCTCCAGGCCTCTCCTGAGGGGTCCACAGCCTTGCAGATGGGCGTTGGGAGCTCCCAGGATGAGGGGAGAGGCCAAGCACACGCCCACCCCCACCTCAGGTGAGCAACACACGGAGACAGAGCCCAGACCTTCCCTGCAGATGAGCTGGGACCCCCTGCAAGTCCCAGCAGAGCTGAACCTGGACTCCCCTGGACCACTCCCCTCCCTGCCTAGTTTCAACCTCTCGACCAACACTCACTCCAGCCCAGCTCTTCCTCTCTGGCCACATCACCCCCCGCAAGCCTCTCAGCATGCAGGACCCCGACCTGGCTCAGCCTGCCCCAAACCACACCCACGGCCCTTCCAGCTCATCACAGGGTCTCTGCCGTTCTGGGTCCCAGCCTTCACCTCCCACATGGACCTCACCAACCAGCCATGCCTGATTTCATCACGCTCTCCCGCCCAGAAAAGCAACCCTGCTCCCTATCTCCTCGGCCTCCGCGCCCGGCTCTCAGCCTTGGCAGCCTCCCCCTTGCCCCCCACTCTAGATGCATGAGAGACACACAGAGCCCAGCACGTGGAGGCAGAGAGACATCCAGGCCCTCTAGGGGATTCCTGACCATAACCCAAAAATAACATCGGAAGGTACCCCCAACCATGTGAATGAACTTCCTCCAATAGGCCAGGGCCCTCCAAATTTGACCTGCAACACTAGCTCAGGCCATGAGGCCTTCAACATTAACAATACAGACCTTAAGTCTGACAGGAAACATTTACGATCTATTCCCTCTGAAGCCTGCTGCCGGGAGGCTTCGCCTGCATAATAAAACCTAGGTCTCCACAGCCCTGATCTTAACCCAGACTTGCCTTTCTACTGACAAGAGCTCTCAACCAACTGCCAAACAGAAAACTTTTAAATCTACCTGTGACCTGGAAGTCCTCTTCCGGACGGCATCAACGTGAATCTTACATGCATTGATTGTATGCTCCTGTACCCCCAGCACCTTGGGCACACGTCACCAGGACTGGTACGCCCTTATCCTTGGGCACACGTCACCAGGACTGGTACGTCCTTATCCTTGGGCACACGTCACCAGGGCTGGTACGTCCTTATCCTTGGGCACACGTCACCAGGACTGGTATGTCCTTATCCTTGGGCACACGTCACCAGGACTGGTACGTCCTTATCCGTGGGCACACGTCACCAGGACTGGTACGTCCTTATCCTTGGCAAAAGAAACTTTCTAAATCGACTGAGACCTATCTCGGATGCTTTTTGGTCCACATGACTCAACAGAAACAGACCAGGGAGCAGTGCCCTGTGGCCTGCTGTGCAGCTTTGGGCAGTACCACAGCTCCTCTGAGCCCCCATCTCCCCACCCCTGACACGACCTCTCAGCGTCAGGGGCGTTTCAATCAGAGCGACTCCATTTTGACTGAGAGGTAGGAAAATCAGGCATTCCGGGCCTCAAATGTTTATGGTTAAGGAGACAAATTAATAACGTTTACTGAACAGACCCAGACTTGGGAGCGTCCAGATATCCCACTATCTGGAGAACGAAGGCGTTCCTATTTTTGCTTTAAAAGATAGTAACATCGATTCTTGCAAAACTGAGTAATTAAGAAAATTAAACCTTTAACACACATCCCCATAAATGCAAGCAGTGCGCCTGGGGCGGAGCGTCCTACAGTGTCTACGGAGCAGCTATGCTTTCACCACTGCACTTTCTTAACAAACCTGCTTTCACTTTGCACTGCGGAATCGCCCTGAATCCTCTCCTACGAGAGATCCAAGAACCCTCTCTTGAGGTCTGGATCAGCCCTTCCTGTAACATCAGGACTGAGGTGAGACTTTGACCCTCCTCTGCTCCGGAGGCACCTGTCAGAGACCGCGGAGGGCAGTGCTCTGCCTAAAGGCACACCAGGGGTGGGCAGGCCCTGGCTTCCTGCCTGGATGCTCCTGGCAGCTTTTCAGGCATCTGCTCTGGCGACATCGGCCCGGTGACCGTCCCCAGGGCCCCAGTTCCATGCTGCAGGGGCGGTTCTGCCCTGCCGAAAGGAGCGAGCCCTGGTGAGGTGCGTGGCCCACCTCTCTCCAACTGCAGAAAGGCCAAAAGGCTTGCAGCTCCCCGGCTCAGCCCTTCGACCCCAACCCAGGCGGCCAGGACCCAGCCCTAAGCTGTGTGAAAGGGGGCCTCAGGTCCTCGGGAAGTCCCAGAAACCTCCTCTAACTGATCACCCCTCCAGCGCACGTTCAGGATCAAGCACCAGAGAGGAAGGTCAGCACTCCAGCCACAGCACAGCATCCGGACTTAGGGTCTCCGCAGCGAGCGGAGGGGTCGACAGGAAACCATGAGGGACCAGGTTGAGAAAGAACAGGTGGGAAGCACGGTAAGTCCGAATGAAGAGCTGATTCGGGGACCCCAGGGACCCCCAGGAAGAAAGGCATCAGCGAGGAACGCCCCCGGCAGAGAGGGAGGGGCGGGAGCGGTGAGGGGCAGGACGGCAGCAGGACCCGAAAGAGGTGCAAGAGCGGGCCTTCCCCGGGGGAGGGGGCCGGGGACCGGGAGCCCCCGGGGGTCCCGCCAAGGCCGTGCGCCGGGGCCGGGGTCGCTCACCCTGCGCTGGCACAGCTGCTGCACGACGCGCTCGGGCGAGGTCCCCAGCAGGTGCTGCCGGAAGCGCAGCAGCGCGCACACGAAGCCGTCCCGCAGGCTGACGAAGCGCGCCTCCAGGTAGAACGCGCGGCCGTCCCAGCCCAGCAGGCGCGTGCGCACCTCGAAGGGCTCCAGCAGGCGCAGCGCGCGGCGGTAGCGCGCGCACGAGGCCGCCAGCACGGTGTGCGCCCGCAGCCCCCGCAGCGCCCCGAGCACCCCGCAGCGGGTCAGGTGCGCCACGCGCGCGAAGTCGGCCTCGCGCAGGTAGCGCGCGTTGTTCATGTGCAGCAGCAGGTCCAGGTCCGAGGGCAGCACGCGGCCCGCGAAGCGCTGCTCCGCCAGCAGGTCACGGACGCGCGGCTGCAGGAGGCGCGCGCGCAGCACGGCGCACGGGAGGCGCAGCAGGTACCAGCCGTCCAGCAGCGCGAAGACCGCGAGCCCCAGGGCCAGCAGCGCCACCAGCAGCCCCAGCATCGCGGCGGCGGCGGCCGGCGGAGGCGGCGGGGGCGGCGGGGGCGGCGGGGGCGGCGGCGGCGGCGCCCTCCAGGCTTCCTGGGAACTCGCGCTCGCGGCGCGGCCGGAGCGAACCACTGCGCGCGGCCGAGCGAGGGGGAGGTGCCCGAGCCCCGCCCACGCCTGCCGCCCCCCCTCCGCGCCCTGCGTGGTCCGACCCGCTGACCCGGCCAGCGCCTCAGACGCATTTAGGGGGCGGGGCGGGGACGGGGCGCAGGCGGGGCGCACGCTGGGCGTCACAGCGGCACCTGGCGGCCATGCGCGGCGCTGCAGGCACGAGAGTGCCCGGGTGTCCGGGTGCCCGGGCGTCTCCAGCTCCCCAGCAGCGCGCGCCCCTCGCCAGCCCCGCACCAAAGACGGGCCCGGCCCTGGCATCCGGCCCCTCACCTGGGCGCAGTCAAAGGCGCCAGCACCTCCGCAGCCGAAGCCGCGGGACACTCCGTGGAAAATGCGCCCCAGCCCGGTCGCCGGCTGCAGGACCGCAGCCACCGCAGGGCGCCCGCCGCGCTCAGGGAGCGTCGCGCTCTGGTCCCCACGCGCAGTTTCAGCCCCAGCCAGTACCTCCTTTCTCGCCCTAAACTTTCACTCTACACCTCAAAGGTCCCGCCGGCCCTAGGCTCCTCCCAAGCGTTCCCGCCCTTCGTCCCTTTTGAAACCGGATCAACTCAGGGCTGGGCGGGAGGGGAAGAGCCCTGGTGAGCGTAAATGACTCAGCGGTGGACTCGATTGTCGCCAGGCACTGGGGCGCGGGCCCAGCGGACTGTTGGGCAGCTTGGCTGCCCTGTGGTCTATGAGGCTGGGGAAACGCGGCCCAGAGAACGGAGGACCAGCTCCCTGCCAGCCACAGGTTCTAAATGACAGCGGATGCCAGTGACCCGGGATGGGGTCCCGGAATTGCTGGGTTAAACAAGCTCCTGAGTCAGGCCTGGACCTGGGCTCGGGTTCCAGCTTCTGTACCTCCCTCGGAGGAGCTCCTGGTGGAGCACCTGGCTCTGCTCGGTAGCCCCAGGGACAGGGAGCTCACTGCCTATCAGGGTGGCTCCCCCAGCGTGGCTCACACTGTCCCTGTCGTGTCACCTTGTCGTGGCTCGACTCTGAGCCGTCTGTCCCAGGGAGGGGCGGTTCCTTGGGAATCGAGGGACTGAGGACACAGCCGTTGAGACTGTTGGCCATTGCTCAAAGAATGCAGCCTCCTGGTCACCTACATTGTCCCCCCGCCAAGAAAAAGGGTGAAACATTGTGCAATATTTGAAGAGATGTTTTCTGAGCCAAATAGAAGTGACTGTGGCCGGTGACACAGCCTCAGAAGACCCCAGGAGCATGTATCAAGTGGTGAGGCTATGATTTGGTTCTACAGATTTTAAGGAGACCTAAGACATCAGTCAATGCTTGTAGGCTGCACATTGGTTTGGTCTGAACTGGTGTTTCAGGTGAACTCTGGAATGTCCTTGGTCAAGAGGAGGGGCCAATTCAGATGATTGGGGGCTGGGAATTTCATTTTTGGGTTACACCACTGTCCTTTGAGCTCTGGAGCGTCAGTGAAGGTTAGTGAATGAGAGATGAGGGGAGCTTCCAAGGCCTCCCCAGCCCCTACCCCTGCCCCCACTCTGCACATGCATTCCCAGCTTCTGCCCTACCAGCTCCCCTCCTACGCACATGCTGTTCCCCCCTCTTCCATCTTCCCCTTCCTGCGCCCGGAGACTGGGCGAGATCCCCAGGGCTCTCCTTGCACAGGGAACCTCTCCCAGGGTGCAGTGATCTTGCCAAAGTCTCACACAGAGAATCTATGAGCAGGGAATACTTTTGTCCCTGTGGGACCCTGAAGCCAGGGGGCCAGGGCCTGGTTGGCCTCCTATCTGCTGTGTGTCAGGGCCAGAGCAGTGCCAGGCACCCAGCGGTCTTAGTCCACACAAAAGCTGGAGGGACCCACAGCTTCCCCATCACTCACTTGCATCAGTCTAACACAATGGGTCTGGGCAGCTTGGGATGGGTCACTGGCAGCTCATTGGGGGACTTGAAGGAGTCAAGGTCAGATGAGGGACTTCAAATTGCCAGACCTGGCCCTTCCTTGCCGGGGCTTGGGGTGTCCAAGCTTGCAGAGCCGTGCAGGGGGAAGGAGCGAGGCAGGTAGGTGGTGGTGCTCCTGGCTCCCTTGGCTCCGCAGGGATCCCGTGTACGCACCAGTACTGACATCACTTCCAGAGACAGGCCTGCAGTCTGAGTTCTGGGGGCCACCACCTGGGTTCCAGGCTCCAGGTGAGGAGGAGCAAAGGCTCAGGGCACTGCCCAGGGGAACACTGCAAGAGAACTGAGTGTGGGACCCGCCCCAGCCCTCGGCCTCACCTCCCTCCCTGCAGGGTGAGTTCTGTAGGTCCTCCTGGCAGCAGCTTCTCTGAAATGCCCACAGATATTACACTACGGTTTGGGCATATGAGCACTGCACTTTCTTTTTCTGTTTGGTGTTTCTATCATTTCTAAAGATGGGCCACTGGGTCGCATTGCTTTGAAAAGTAACCACTGGCCATTGTAGGACTCCAGTTTCTGAATTAGGACATCCAGGCTTTGCCCAAACCTGTCATACACAGATAGAAGGAAAGACTCCTGCAAATCTGGGAGTCCTTCCTCAGATTTTAGGGTTTCATAGGCTTCTACCCAGTGGGATGGTTGTTTTTCTCCACACTTGAGTGGGTTTAACTATGAGGCCAAAGCTTAGGATCTAAACCCGGCAGAAGCCAGCCATCCATAGAAAGCCGTGCAGCTCTGTTCTACCACCAGGGACTGATAGTGAAGCAATGACCTGCTTTCAGTCTGGGGCAAGCATCCTGGCTTCTGGCGTAAGTCTGTACCCTGGGTATGTATCCAAGCTGTGTATGGGAGATCTGGGGCTTTAAGGGGAAGACCTTATATCCCCATTCAGCCAAGAAATTTAAGGTTTTAATAGTATTTTCTTAAAAACTATGGAAGCCCTCACTAGCAATAAGCAAGTCATCCACATAACTGCAGTACGTTTCCACTTGCAAGTTTAAGATGTCTGAAGTATTTTGCCAGGGCCTGCCCAGAGAGGTAGGAGCTATCCTGAAACCCCTGGGGTAGCACTGTACATTGGGAAGTTTCCTGGGTCTCTGGATCTTTCTATTCAAAGGCAAAAATATAGGAGAATTTGGGATGCAATGGGATACAAAAGAAGGTGTCCTCTCAAACCAGCACTGCATGGAACTGAGTGTGCACAGGACCTGAGAGAGGAGTGTGGGTAGACTGGAAACTAGGACGACTGGGAACAACTGAGTCATTCCCTGCCCTAAGGTCCTGAACAAACCGGCATTCCCCATTCGGTTTGTCCATGGGCAGGACTGGGATATTACAAGGTGACTGGCAGGGCTGAATAAGCCTGTGCTGTAGTAATTTTTCCAGGAGGAGCTGTGTCCCCTGTAGGGCCTCTGGCCTCACAGGGTATTTGGGGCTTGCATGGGTGGGGTATGCTTGGCTTAAATTTTATCTTAATAGGCTCTGCATTGATGGCTTGTTCCAGAGTGCTGGCATCACGTACAAACTTTGCCACTTGAGCCAATATCTCTCCCAGGACGGGGGGCAGCTTCTGACCTTTGGGAGCAAAAAGGGCCAATAAGTGGATTCCCTTCTCTGGAGGCACTGAGACTTAACTGCATTCCCCTGGAGGGAAACTGAGGCTCCCAGGACAGTCACGGACATATAGGAAATAACGAGTAATAGCCTTAAATCCAATTTCACAAGTCAAAGGAAAGGCAAATCATTTTACCTTCTCCTGGCCATCTGTTCCCATCACCATACCGTTGGCATTGCAGAGGTCCCACAGGTTGGGTCAGGACAGAGTAGGTTGTCCCAGTATCAAATAGTTAATTCAGGTTTCCTACTTGCCACGTTGAGAGTGACCTGAGGCTTTGCAGTGGTGATGCCGATAGAAATCTTGGGGGCTGCAGCCGGCCGAGCACGTGGAGCTGGAGCGCTCCATCGAGCAGAGAGCGTGGCCTTTTCATCCAAGAGTCTAGCATTGAGAGGACTGGGTTGGGGAGATTCATTCTGTCATGACTTCCCAGGATAGAATGAACAGTCCCTTTCCCAGTGCCCCTCCTTCTTATAATAAGAACACTGGTTGTGCCTTAGTCCTCTTCCTGCTGGTTGAGACCCTGCCACCCCTTGTTTGGAGTGTTTCTGTTGCCTAGGGTCACCTTGAGGCAGACCTGTAATTGTGGCAGCCAAAATGTGTGTCTTCTTTTTCATTCTCTCATCCTTTTCTTCCTCCTTTGCCTGGTCCTTATTGTTAAAAACCTTAAAGGCCCCCACTATCCATGTCACCTGAGGTGTCCTGGGGTACGCTTCCAGTTTCTGAAGCTTTCTCCAAATGCCTGGTGGAGCGTGAGTTATGAAATGCATGGTAGTTGTTGTTCATTTTTATAAGAAGCCGTCAAACTGTTTTTCATAGTGGCTGTACCATTTTAAATTTTCACCAGCTGTGTATCAGGGATCCAGCTACTCTGCATCCTTTTCAGGATTCAGCGTTGTCACTATTTTTTATTCTAGCCACTCTCATAGGTATGTGGTGATAGCTCATTGTGACTTAAATCTGCATTTTATAAAGGATAAGGATGTTGAATATTTTTTAATGTGCTTATTTGCCACCTATATCTGCTTGCTGATGAAATGTCTGTTTATATGCCTGGCCCATGTTCTTACTGATGTATTTTTTTTTCCTGTTGAGTTTTAAGAGTTCTTTATATGTTTTAGATAAAACTTCTTTGTCAGATTGTGGCTTGTAAATACTTTCTCCTAGTATGTAGCTTGTCTTTTCATCCTAATAACAGAGGCAATAGCAAAGCAAAGGTTTTAATTTTGGTGAAGTCCGGTCAATCAATTGCCCCTTCTATGGATTCAGTTTTTTGTGTCAACTTTAGGAACGCTTTACCTAGCCCTCAATGGTATCTCTTTATGTTTTTAATCTGGAGATTTCATCTTTTTTATTCCTGATCTTGATCATTTGTACCTTTTTAGTCATGATCAGTCTTTCTAGGGATTTATAAGTTTTATTAGATTTTTCAAATAAACTTTTATTTTGATTTTTTGG